ACAATTGTTGGATCCGCCATTGATTATATATATTCTTCATCCATATGTATGTTGTCTTTGTATGCTTCTCTGTTCACTCCTAATAAGTTTAGACTGGATGGGTAGGGTTTGACGAAATCTTACCCGACCTGGTAGCCTAATTCCAATTTTATTATAAAGAGTTACTTTTATTATTTATTTATTTATTGTTATTTATTTATTTGTTAGGTTTTTTTGAGCCAACTGTGAATAAATCATTACAACTTGGGATCTGAATTCAATTCAAGTCCATTTACTTTCACTTCTACAAGCTTCGAATTGAATCTCTGCTCCTGTTCTTCTTATGGCCGACTCAAACGAGCCTCAACAATCTGAACAAGGTATGATGATTTCTCTCCTTTACCTGTCCTTCTGTCGTCTTTTATTGCATATATATCGATTTCATATTTCAATTTATATTTATTTCTGTTTTTGTATTTTACAGTCTGTAATTTCTTTCGAAAACCATCAAAGAACAAGAATATCAGAAAGCGAACACTTGATGATGAAAACGAAGAAGAAGAGGATTCAAAAACTGAGACCTCGCTGTTTGTCAATAAGAAAAAGCCCCCCAAACCTGACAATAAGCTACACTTCTCTACCGGACCCTCCAAGCGCACAGTTTCATCTGAATCAGACATAGACTCCAATGCCTCAATGTTTCAATTCGAGTCCTCAAAGGAAATTCAAGTTCAAGATGATAGTAGGGCAACAGCAACCCTTGAAACTGAGACTTTTTTTTCGAGAGATGCTTGAGCAATCCGTGAGAGGGTTCTCAAGAAAGCAGAGGATGCTTTGAAGGGGAAGCAAAAAAGCTCTGGCGATGAAAAGCTGTACAAAGGAATTCATGGGTATACTGACTACAAGGCTGGGTTTCGAAGAGAGCAAACAGTTGCGGCAGAGAAAGCCGGTGGGGCGCATGGGCCTCTTAGGGCTTCTGCTCAAATAAGAGTGTCAGCAAGGTTTGATTACCAGCCTGACATTTGTAAGGATTACAAAGAGACTGGTTATTGTGGGTATGGAGATTCTTGTAAGTTTATGCATGACCGGGGCGATTATAAGTCAGGGTGGCAAATGGAGAAGGAGTGGGAGGAAGCTGAGAAGGCAAGGAAAAGGAATTTGGCTATGGGTATGGATGACAGGGATGAAGGAGCAGCAGACCAGAGTGATGAAGATGATGATGGTTCATTGCCCTTTGCGTGTTTTATTTGTAGGCAGCCTTTTCAAGACCCTGTTGTAACCAAGTGCAGGCACTACTTCTGTGAGCATTGTGCATTAAAGGTTAGCCTTCTCAAACCCTTATCTTATTTGATCATGATCATATTGTTGGTTTATCTACGTTATCTTATCAGGTCTTATTGTATGCCTTAATATTTATTGCTTTTCACTGGACTATTTGAAATGAGAAATTTATACTAGATGATGAAGAAATAAGAATATTTAAATTACAAAACACGTACGCACATGTATAATTGTGTGAGTTCAAATAATTTTATTGCTCTTATTGTAAAGAAATAAACTTGTAAGATGCTGTTATAAGTAACTTTTCTTTGTCTGATGCAGTTGTAATTTTTAATTTCCACTACCATAAAATACAAGCATCTCCGTATCAAACAATGTTATGAAGATAATATCACATAAAGAACCTTCTTGAATTACTAACCCCATTACAGATTAAATCTTAAGGGTTTGAATGTTTCTTCTTTAAAGCTCTAGTCTCACTACCAAAGCCTTGGCTTGAGTGGTATGTCTTCCACCTCTCAGAAAGGGGGGTTGGGGTTTAGGGTTCAACACCTTGTGGGGCATGTTTGTTAGAATATATCTATTTAAAAAGGGCATTAAGTAAAATTGGTCGCTTGTACTCCTCACTCAATGCACACAACTTCTTAGTTTAGGATAATGAGACATGTTGTATTATAGGCATGGCAATTCTATCTAATTTTTTGTTGTCAGGTGTAGTAAATTTTGATTAAACATATTTGAGTTTTTGAAATTCGAGAGTCAAACAAAGTTCAGACTTGTCACACTCCTAGCGTATTCACTCCCGCAGTCATGGATATGATATTGGCTTACTCGGTGAGAACATTTTTGAAAATTACTGGTTTACCAATGGTAAGACAAAACAAGAAATGTTAGGATCGTATAAATGTTGTTGCAGGAGATAAAACATATTCCTATCATTTCAATCAGGTGGGGATATGCATCTTGTTTATATGACATTAAGTGGTGCATTCTAGTGTCTGGGCTACTTAGAGGAGAATAAAAGTGATAATGACCATTGCTTGATATAATACTAGCTTCAAGGGTCCGTCTTATATTAATGATTAAATATAGGAAACAGCACAATACATTTGTCGAAGTTACATAGTATGTTGATAAGTGGAATTAAATGCTGGAATTGGGTGTGGGAGCTGGGGTCCACCTTTGATGATATTTGTTGATATTAGATTTGTACACAACATTGATAATGATATGAAGTGGAATTGGGATTTTAACTAATGATCCATATGAAAAGACTTCCCGTTTTACGTGACATTGACTTTATTTTATCTTTACCGATTTCAATTGCCACACAAGTGTAGAAACTAAGCATCTGATGTCAAACTTGCTTTTCCTAGAAGGCATATGGGTGCTGTCTCCACAATTCTTGCTTTTTAGGTTTGGGTTCAAGTGATTTTGTTAGGTTTGGAATTAATCTTATTCAAGACAAGGGCCCAAGGCAGAAGTACTTAATGTTACAGAGATACTCATTTTAAGAATTAAATTGAGGTCCTATTCAGTAAGATTCCCCCAACTCCTCTCATAGAAATATAAAATTTAAGGTGTTAATTATGTTGTATTATGCATAAAATTTGTTCTGCATCTCGTTTGAGAAGGTGGATCCATCCCAACCAAATTTTTTTTTCTTTATTTTAAACATTAATAGATTACCCGGAATTTTCTCTTCTTTAAGTCTTTTCTTGGTTGTCCTATATCGTTTTCAGTGCAAAATGAAAATGCAATCTGATACCATCTTGATTCTGTGCCTTAAGAATAACTTTGTAGTCTTTTGACAACCTAAAACAATTATTTTGCTTCTCTTTTCTGGCAGAGAAGTTTTGTTCCTAGTAGATATTTCACTTGTTACCTTCCTTCAAAGCAGTAGTTGCTACCTATGCACCACCATATTTATTACACCACCCTCATAGTTGATCCTTAATCCCAGCTCTTTGATTAAGGTCGCTAAGAATGTGAACAGTTAGAAATTTCAGTTGTAAGTTGCAACAAATCTCATAACAAATACGGGTGAGATTTTTGGTGGTTTTTTGTTGATGAAGATGAATCATATATGGTGAATCCTGATGTATAACCAGTAACTCCCTCCTTGGATAAACATTAACAATCAGATTGGTGATTTTCATTGACTTTAGAATTATAATACTGCAATCTCATTGTGAAAAATTTTAGGGGAAGGAATTTTGGATGGTAAAGAAAAAACAATGTTCATAAAACAAGTGTGGTTTAAATGTGGATGTTAAAATGTATGCATTTTAAGACAAAAAGGGATAAATTTAGAAACAATTTCATTTGTTATAGCATCCATAAAAAAGTTAAAATGAGAGAAAATTGACCAAGACGGTTTAACCAAGATCAATAGCTATACCCACAAGGAGCGTAACATGGCTCGTATTAAAGATAACGTTAGAAAACTGAGACCAAAATTAGTACGAGTTGAGATAGTGATGAAAAATACAATAATGTGTTACTTAATTGACAGAACTGGCTTTAGATAGAACAGAATGTTGAAACAAGATTCACTTAACCGCCTCAAAATAGTTGGCTTAATGTTTTATTAAATCGAATTGAGTTAAGCAAGTTTGGTAGAATCTATATATATATATATTTTTAACATTTAAATATATTTATTCTGTTACAGCATTGCATATCTTACTTCTCATTGGAAACTTAATCCGATTTTCTATTATAGCATCATTCTTTCCATATTTCATATCTTCTCTAATTAGGCTGTTACTTCCTAATCTTTTTGTCCACAGCATCATTTGAAGAATAAAAAGTGCTTTGTTTGCAACCAGCCTACCCTTGGCATATTCAACACTGCTCATGAGATACGAAAGAAGATGGCTGCTGAGGGAAAATAGTAATGTTTGGCCATTCTGTTTGGTCGGTGCCATGCTTTGTAATTGCATATACTCGTGAAATATCTTCTTGACGTTGTAAGTTTACCTTTTATCGAATTATTGTTGATCCATTAGTCTCACAATCTACATGAATTGTATGAATCATACATTGTGCCAAAGTAGTTTAATTTTTACAGCCATGAGCATTACATCAATCTATGTATTATATGTCCCCCATTTGCAAGGTGCTCGGAGGGGAAATCATTATTTTTGTGCAAAGTGACTGTTCAGTAGCTCGAACCTGCTCCATCACCTTTGTAAGTCTGGGTTTTACCATCAATTTAAGTGAATTTGTTATAAATCCTACATTGAGAAACAGTGGTTTCATTTTTATTGCCAGAAGCATTTGCTATGGATACAGACATTTTAGTTGATTTTAAACCTTTTCCATTCTCAGAAATCATGCTTATGTTCTTTTCTGTCCCCTCATGGTCAAGATATGGTCTTTTCTGTCCCCTCATGGTCAAGAAAAAATATTTTAGCTCCAAATTAACCTAATAATTGTATTTTGGTATTCGTCAAGGGTACTCATCCAATAATACGTCCTTTGGAACTCCAGCACCTTTGACTAATTGAATTCTATCAAATTATGTGAATTTTGTACGGAGAAATTAGCATTTGGGTCCAATGTGTAAATCTAAGGAAATTGGTTTACGTTAGTTGTTTCAACACTAGAAAGCTTCTATGCTTCTCTCCACGAATTAAGTTTGCAATAAAAATTGTTATTAGGCCACTTCACTCTCTATAACTTTCTGTGTAAGTTCTTTTTATATATTTGGACTAATTTATCTTGCAGTACTCTGGTTGATAAAAAATTAAAAATAGAACTTTGTCTCCAATATTTATGCTTTCATCATGATCCAGTAGCACCTGAACCGAATGGCAGTCTCCAAAGTTTTTAGATTTTCCCCAACTCGAGACAATTTCTGGATAACATTTTTACTAGTTACATGAACATTTAATTAACAATATTAGCAACTGTACTGCTAAAAAAACATAAAAGTACAATTGCAAACTAAAACCTAAGACAGAATGTACATGAAACGGGGACTCCCGAACTTGAACTCTTAGGTACACTCTCTATGTTTTCTTTTGACCTTGGAAAGAACTTCAAGCGCTGGTCATTACCTCCTTGGTTACCATTCGATTGTTCTCAAGATTTTGTTCTTGGCTCCAAGCATGTGGAGATTGTGCAGTCAGTAAAGGCCACAAGAGATTCTGTTTTCGCACTTTCCGGACAACCATCTTCCTGTGTTGCCTTATAACCCCATTCATTGCCTTCAGATAGTTGCTCGAGTCGTGGTCTCTGAGAATGGTACCTTCCGAGCCATAAGCTGTGGGATCTTTTAGTGTTTCTAGCGGGTGGGGAGAATTGAGGAAGGCCTTAAGTGCACTCTTGGTGGAACCACATTGGTTTTGTTCCAGGGCATATAGGGCACATCCTGAAGGTAGTAAAGGGTGAGGAGGAGATGAATTCTCGTCCGATTGGAGAATGAATACTTTACCCATTGGAGAATATAACGATTTCTGCACAAAACAACATCATTTAAAGAGGAAGAATAAGATTGCAGGATGAAAGCAATTTTTCATTCTGAGATTGATTATATGGTATCTGAATGGATGATTGAAAAACAATTTGAAAATTTATAAAAATTTGTGAGATAAATAATTTTATACAAACTGAAGGAGTTGTAAAGGTATATACGCACATTCTTATTTAGAGAAGGGTGGGACCGGAAGGACTTCAATTGCTTGAGGAGCTGTGTGATATGGTTCGGGTAGTTGCAGGAGAATGCTCTCGGGACGATATCTCTATGCATCATCACACAATGAACATGGCTCTCATCCAAACCCAACTCATCAAGTATCTTTTGCCCTCCACAGAAGACAAATGGTGATCCAAAAGTAACAACTGGCAGGAGTGCAGATGGCTTGACAACCTTTCTTGCCAATAACATTAAGTTGACTAGTAGAGAAAGACTACCCCCAAGTGAATGACCAGTGAACTGAAACTTTGCTCGATCCCCGTATTTATTCAAGTGTTCCATAATTCCTGGCATGAATTGCTCATATATTCCCTTAGCAGCTTCATAAATTCCTCTATGAACAATAACTTCTGTCTCCTGCAACAAAGATGAATATATTCTCATGGTTTAGGTTTCTCTTTTTTACTTGATATATTAACTCAAGTGGTGTTCTGAAAGTCATGCACTTGCGCTTACCTCAAATTTGGTGGGTTCAAAGAAGAGATTAGCATGCCATGATGCCACTGAGTCTGATCCCTGTATTTCATAGAAAATTATTATGTCAAACAGAAAACAGTATCTGATTTCTGTTAACCACTTGTTCACAAGACAGTGATGTCTAATTATAAACATTTAATTAGCTGAAATTTCAGTCACGGAAATCTCTATATGAGCTATCATTTACATGCAGCAGTTACCTGAATGACGAAACAGTGAGTGCATGTGCTTAGATCATCGCAAACAAACCATTCACAAGGTGAGGAGTGAAGTGATTGAAGGTCTCTTGCAGCCTCCTGCTTTTCTTTCTCGCCTGCAGCAACCACTGATGTCATTGTTGATGCTGCCATATATGCAGCCATCTCTGACTTGTACACTCGTGAGGCAGAGTTCCCTTCCTCCTCCTGTGAGTGGTCTCCTTTATCGCGTGATACCACTCCATCACCCTCCTGTTGGGGCTCAGAGCCAAGGGATAAAAGGTCCTTGGCACGAGAGTGGACATAAGATGCAGCAGAAGCAGCAATGTCATAAGCAACAGATAGACGGATTGGACGTTTCTGCTCGGGGTATTTGGATTTCTCTGAATTGAACAATAAGCTAGCTGCGGAGGTAGCCGAAGGTACACTAGTGGAGTCCTGGTCAAGTTTGGCTTTGAGTATTGCTGCCTCTGCTTTCTTCTCCAAGAAAGACATTACAAAATCCAGGCCATAGTATCTTCTTAAATCCATGTCCTACATGTTAATTGGATAAAGTTACTTATATACACTTGAAAACCTTTTTTTTATTTATAAGTATATACACTTGAAAACCTGAAGGGAACTGATAAATCTACTGCGTGCTAGCAATAAAAGAAGAAGAATAACTATTATACTGCTAAAGCAAAAAAGGCTTGTCACCAATAACATGTATGGAATTATTAAAAAAATCAAATTCCAATAAAAAAAAAAAAAACATAAAAAAACATTTCCAGAGGACATGATTCAAATTAACAAAGCTAATATAGGTATACCACTGAAGGTTGCTAAGTTCCACTTGAGTGTTCCAATAGAGGGTTGCTAAGTTGATAATTGTATTGTCTAGCCACTTGGGAAAGGTACATCTTTAGCACTATATTCTGATTCCTGAACGAGACTGACAATCAATGGTCCTCTTTCCCACTTTGATGCAGTTTTCCTTTGTTAGCCCAGATAGAAAAGTGACCAGGGTAATGGTCAACACTTCAACTAAATGATACACTGAAATTGAACATCATAATAATGATGTCAAAATATATTATTGAATAATTGCAAAACATGATAGAATATAAAGAAGTAATTCAAACTCGAACAAAACCCATAAAAATATTTACTTGATCATCTAAAACTTAACATCTAAACTCGAACAAAACCCATAAAAATATTTACTGAACTTGCAGTATCCAATTAGTTTCTTCTTCTTCTTCTTCTTTTCATTTTTTCCTTCCTTGTCCCGTTTTTACTGCATTCTCATGGTTTCCATTCAGTGATTAAAAACCAGACATCTAGGTGAACCATCAATCAGAACATGTATAGGTGCTACATAAAAGTTCTCACGCACAAGCATATACTTTGTTTGCCCTTTCTAGTCCGCTCACTTATCTAACTCAACGTTTTCATGACCATAATCTCATTCTATTACCATGCCGTCGTTTGATCCCCAAAAGCTCATATGATCAAGCACTTGTAGACTTGTAGTCTTTTATGGTTGTTTAATAAAAAAAAATCCATCAATTTAATAAGTTGATCACTAGCATCATAAGATCCATACCTCCCATTACATTCATCTTACTCTAGTAATAAAACGTACTAAAGTAACAAAAATTCTAGCTTTGTGGATATTTTTACCATCAACAACAATTTTCTACAAAAAGATTCACCTAAGTGACCAAAGATCTTTCCAATCCTCCCTTCAATTCATCTTACTCTATACGACCAAGCTAAAGGAACAAAGGTTCTAACTTTATGAGTCCACTATTACCGTCAATGACAACTATTATCTACATAAAGAACCACTTAAGTGACAAAAGATCATCAAAATCAAGGTTTTATTTCACATATTTGCAATTTTTTAGGTGGGATTGTGTGGACAATGCAATGGATTTGTGCCCATTAGTGCACTGCACTGATTAAATCATCAATAAATTCATATCCATTTGCTAGCCACGGCAACAAGCTATATCACAGTAACCGACAATTAACGTAAATGACAATAGTAGTACTTAGAAAACGGTAATACAAAAATACTGATGGTAACAATACTGATAGCAACAAGGAAAAGAAAAGCTTCACCTGGCAAGGGAAGCACTTCATGACGAGTTGTTGCACATAATGGGCAACTGCCTTTCTGCGCTCTTCCAATGGTGGGTTGGGCTGAATGCAGACAATAAGCTCTGCGGTTCTCTCCTCGGCCTTTAACCATCTCTCCGAGTCAAGGACTCGGATTACTGGACCTGCAATAGGCCACTTGGCTGTGCCCAGCTCTCATGTTCGCCCATGCACGGCTATCCCCTAACTAGCCCACTGCTTGCTTACACTATGACAACTCTATTATTTGCGCCCCAAAAATAAATAAATAAATAGAACTATACTTTATAACTTTAGAGAGAAAGAGAGAGAGTTTTAAACTTTTCTTCCCAGTTGCCCAGAAAATAATTTTCACAAACTGCAAGTCAAATTTGTAGCAACTAGAAACTTATAGAACACCACATATAATATATATATATATATATACATATGAGTATTATTATTATTATTTTATTTTACAAATGGTCAGCACTGCTACTATAAGCCTTGAAAGAAAAACAAAAAATAGAGTATTTATAGAAAATCGTTACAAAAGTAGAACCCTAAAACAACATTCAAGATGAGCACTTTTATTACGTACAAAATACAACCGAAATTTAAAAAAAGTCAAATAAGAAAATTGAATTAGAAAGCTAACGGGATGTTAAATCATGAAAAGAACAACAATTTAGATACAAAAGAGCAATAGAAATTAAAATCGAAACCCTAAAGAGAGACTACTTGGTCAGATCATCGGACTCCTGACTGAGACTGCTTTAGGGTTTCGAGCAAGACAAGAAGGCCATCAATCTCGAGATTTGTGCAATGTCAACGAATATTATGGTTGGAGTACACGCGAAGATTAAGAGGCACGAAGAGTAGATTGAACCACCATAAATTGATATTGCTAGGATACAAAGTTGAAATTTTGAAGATCGTAAATCCAAAATATGAAAGAGAAACGAGTGTAACGAACTAAAAGAGGCGAATCAGATTTCAGGAGAGAGAGGGGGAAAAGATGAGAGAGACGGAGGGAGGGAGACGGTGGTATTTTTCCTGGTTGTGCTTACGGGGAGGGGTTCTTCTCAAACGAACTTTTACGGCGGTAAATATGAAATATGGGCAATGATTGAATCGAGAAGAAAAATTAAATAAAAATCTTAGAAATAATTAATTTATTACTATTTGTTAAAACAATTTCAACTAATTATTGATGTTTTAAGAGAGATTGACAATACCATATTGATAAAAAATACAAATGCATCACTATATATAGACGCTTATATATATTAATCTTTTTGTCAGGTATTTTTCTTTTTTAGGAGATTTTTTTCTTTCTATTGAATATTTCTTATAAGGTCTGTTATTGGATAATAGGATATTCAAATTCTTCATATTAGATGTTAGTCATTTTTCTAGTTAATTAGGGCTTGCTTGGTTTGTAGTTATAAAAATAATTTTTTGTTCTCAAAAAATAGAAAACTGAAAACAGAAAAATTCTATTTGGTTATGTTTTCTGAAAGCTCAATTATAAAAATGTCTATTTTCAGATAATTATAAAAGATTATTTTTTTATAATAACTTTTTATTTTCTAAGTTTTTTAGAACTGTTTTTAGAATTATAAATTAAACAGATTCTCAATATTTTTGAACTTTGAGTTTTACTCGTTAGATAAGAGTTAGATAGACTTCGTTTGATATGAAAAATAACTTAAAACTATAATAAAATTTAGACTTGGATCCTCCGGATTGATTTTCTCTAAGTTATATAGGTTGAATTAATAAGAAGTTGACAAGTGTCCTATTAAATAGATCTAAATTCTTAAAAACACCACGTCACTTACTTAAAGTAACATTTCGAAACTCCGTTGTCCAAAGAGTTAGGTTTGTCAACTCCGTTACTGAACCACCGAAAACCATCGCTAAAATACGTTTATCCCCTCTTCTCTTCTGTCTTTCATTCTTTTCCATGCAACACCACCCTAGTGATCTCTCTCTAAACCTTTCTAATTCCTCTCATTCTCTCTCCTGATTTCAATCCCTTTAATTTTCTAAATCTACCTACAAGCCTTGAAAAAATCTTTTTCAATTTGCTTCTTTATGCACATTAAGATTTTTTAAAATTGTTTGAGATAAGGTTTAAGGGTCCAGAACTTAAAGTAGAGATATATGTATTATGTATGTGTGCAATTGTATATTTATATGTTTATATATAGAGATCAAAAGAACCCTAATTTTTTTTTCTTTTAAAAGGAGCTAGGAGTTGCCAAATTATGAAATCTGGTCTGTTTGTTGGCAGTATTAATATTTGAACTCTCCCTTTTTCATTTACTTGTTTCCCTAATGCTTAGAATGATGTCTACAATAAAGTGAGGAATTAAATAATTGCAAGTTTGTGTATACAGAAGAAATAAGGTTAAGTAAGAGGAAAAAAGGCAACGTTTATTGACGATGTTTGTCATTTTGTCCAATATCATGTCGTTTTTGTTTTATTAATTTAACTATATGACGTGAGATTCACCCAAACTTACACATGTAAGAGTATGAACAATTTAACTTACGATAACTTAGAGGATCCAAGTCCAATTCTTAACAATCTCATACAGACTTGTTTTCTCTACCGAGGCTTATTTTGAGAGTTTTTGTCTTTTTGATTCTGCCAAACTTAAAACTTAATCCAATGTTACACTAAAATATCACATCAATAATGAAGTAGACAAGATGGTCTGTATCCAACGAGAGCATATGTAAGCAGTGGAAGAGAATAAGTATCACATAGATTTTTATTTTAGTTTATATCAGGTAATTAGATTATATAATGATGCATCTATATTAATAGACGGTATCATTATGTGTTACTATTTAATTAGCACGTGATATATTGTTTTTTTTTTCCTAATTGATACTATTCATACACACGTGTCTTCGCTGAGGATCGAACCCCGACCTCTCTTTGAGAAGTAGGGGCTTAGTACCATTAGGCCACTGACATATTGGTCGTGATGCATTGTTATCACTGCATCAAAAATATTTATTATTTTAATTTTTTTGGTAAAAAAAAGTTATTGTTGAGTTAGTCATGTCTCTTCCATACACACTATCAAAAATATTTATTATTTTAATTTTTTGGTAAAAAAAAGTTATTGTTGAGTTAGTCATGTCTCTTCCGTACACACTAATGCAATAACTTGTGTGTGCGTGCTATTTTTATGAATGAATCGATTAAGTTTTATTATGATTCATTGAACTATGGGGCAAGGGCGAAATGGTATTTGAAATTTAGAATCTTATTCGAGTTCGGAGACGGATTTATAGTTAAACCTACCGTCCCGCTCCATCCGGATTAAGGGATCCTATAAATACAATATAATATAAGGTTAAGTGCAAAAAAAACCCTGTAATCTAGATTTTGTGCACAAATAGTCCCTCCTTTTTTAAAATGTGAATTTTCAAAAAAGGTGCGACCACTTTTTGACAAAGAATAAATATAAATACTCCATTTTATCCTTTTTATTCCTATTTTACCCCTACCCCATTTCCTATTCCCTCTCTTTCCCCCTCTGCATAAAACCCTGACAAATGTATAACCAAAATCGCCGCCGCCGCCGAAGACGCAAAAAATAACCCTCTTAAGTTTGTCTTCTTCCTCTTCGCCCACCTCCCATCTCTCTCTAAAATTCTCACCTTTCTATCTCTAAAACCAAACCCAGCAGAGCTGCAATGGACTCCACCACCAACACCACCCAAACTTATCACCAATTCTCTCTCTAAAACCAAACCAGTCACAATCAGTAGTAGAATCAATAATGGACTCCAAAAAGACGGGTATAAGCACTAAATTACGAGCCCTAGAGTGCATATGTAACCATTAAAAATCGAATTTAAAATCAATTGTGAGTAGAATATAGACACACACGCATATGTGTGTTGAAGAGTTTTAGACAGACCTAACCTACAAACCCATTTTCGGTGATCTTCAAATCCTTCTTGAGAGCTTAGCGCGCGCGCACACACATATATATAGACACGCAGTGAGTAATATATATATATATATATATATATATATCCAAATACAGAGCTTTGTGACGATTTTGGTGGTGTACACTGCTGATGAAGATGGTTGTGGTGTTTTGGTGCTTCAGATTGAACCGTATATTTATTCACACGTAAATACTTGATAGATGTGGTGGTGTAATGATAGTTTTAATCAGTGATTGCAAATATATATATATTTTTGATCTGGGTTTGCTTTGGAAAACCAAAAATCTGTTGCGGTGTTGAGTAGAGAAAGAAAGAAAGGGTGGACAGCGGTGGAGGGGTTGGATGAAATGATGGAGAATGCTGACGATGGGGTTCCTCCCCTCTGCGCTGCCCTCATAGAGGAATGACTCGACAGCGCACGCCGTAGCGATTTGTAGTGTTGACGATGCCTTGGCGAGCGCGACCACAGACAGAGACGACGGCGACGGGTTCTTTAACGAGTTGAAGCGTCGCGAAGGCTTCAGGATCCATCCGAAACTTGCCCTTCTTGCCGCAGTACACCAGACGAATCGACCTCGCCGGTTTGATGGCTGCGCCGAGAATACGTAGGCAGAACTGCAATTACAATTTTGTCCCAGTTAATTAAATACTAATTCATTTAAAAAATGGCATTTTAGGCAAAATGTTTTCCCTCAAAGAAAGGTAGGAAAAAAAAAAAAAAGATGCTTAAAATGACTCAATTACCCCTTAAATTAAAAGTCATAGGAGTATTTTTAAAGGTATATTTGTCACAAAAGTGTTATCTTTGTGGGTGAGTTCGGGAATTGTTTAAAATTGTAATTTTCCATTGCATGATTTTTTTAATATTATTTCATTTTATTGACCAGAGGGTATTATAGTCTTTCTATGCGAACGGAAAGTATTTGCACCAAATTGATAATATAGGGGGTTTTATACGTCTTTTTTCACTAAATTCTAGGGTGGCAAATTACAACATAATCCGTCAACACGACTTGAACACGACACAAGATAAACGTGTTTAGGTAGACCTTAAACAGGTTTGGGTCAGGTTAACACTTGACACAATTAACCCATTTACTTAAGTGTGTCGGGTTAGGCCTTAGGGTTCAACCCGCGTAACTCAACATGTTATAATCATAAATATGACCTATGTAATATATATATTACTTGTTTAAACCCAATTATTATGAATAGTTAAGTCATCTCAACATAAACCTCGTTTACGCCTTATGATTTTTCTTCTTATTTTGAATATTTGGGTTAATTGTGAAATTTTTTTTCTATTATTTATTATTTAATTAATTATTAAATGTCTCGTTTTGATATAAATAGGTCATTAAACATGTCGTTTAATAAACGAGTTATGTTAGTGTTGAGAGTTTTTGACACGATTATTAAATAAATTAGGTTTATCTGTTTAGTTTAACACCCTTATATAGACATGATTATTTGTCACCCCTACTATGTCCACGGTAGAAGGTTTTTTTATTTTATTTTATTATATTATTATTTTTTTTAGCATATGTTAAAACCTTTAGGGTTTCTAAGAACATACTGGCTCCGTCGCCTCCCTCCCCCAATTGACAACTCCAGGTCTCGACATTCTTATACAACTCGCTGCTCGCCGGCCATTCCTTCTGACCAACCATTCAGGCCACGATAGGTGTGTATAATATATTAATACGTATGTGTAAAGTCTAGAGAGGGAGAGAGAGAACATATTCTCTCTATATAATTATATATATTTTTCATCTATATGTATGTCGTCTTTGTATGCTTCTCTGTCAAGGACAGATAGAGAGGTAGGCTGTGATGTGCTTGAGCTCACAATTTGTACTATCCTATTTTTAGCCCAGCTCAAAATAAAAAATTATTAATAGTATTAACTCACTCCAAAATTAATCCATTCAATCAAACCCAAGTCAACTCAGCCACCATTCTAAGATAAAGGCCCAAGCCAAATAAAGCCCAGGGCCGGCCTGACCCTAGGCCACAAAGGCAGTCGCCAGGAATTTTTTACTCGTATTGTTTAGGGCAAATCATTTCAGCCTCCCCAATCGCCTCCATCTCTATTCTCGTTCTCAACTCTGATCTCTGCAACTGCAAACTACAAAATCTACAAGAATTAGGAGTTCAAAACCCATATATTTCAGTTTATCTATCTCTCTGCTTCTGCAAGAATCAAAAGTTCAAAACCTATTATCGGCATATCTTTCAGTTTCCATCGCCCGCTGTTCCAGTTCGGGTTCGCCGTTCGCAAGCTTCAGCCGCTGGCCCGCTGTCTCCCAACTCTCAAGCTTGCCCCCCCTCTCTCTCTGCAACTGCTAACTTGTATGTATGGGTTTTCTCTCTCTGCAACTGCTAACTTGTATGTATGGGTTTTGTTTTAATTTTTTTTTCTAAATCAACTAATCAAGGTCTGCAATTCTTGTTTTGCAAACTAAATTCTATATATATATATATATATATATATATATATATATATTTATTTCTATAACTTTTTTTTTTTTGTTGTTGTCAATTATGTCTACAAGAAAATTTGAATCTGGGCATGAAAAAAGAAAAAAAAAAAAATCTGAATGGGATTAGAAATCTGCAAAGATTGAATCTGAAACAATTTTTATCAACATGCCAAGCTTTTTGAAGATGGAAATCTTTTCAGAACTAAAAAAAATCATAACAAAAGCTTTGACAAGCAAAAGTACTTAATACAGGGTAAAGCTCTAAAGTTACTTCTTGAAAATTAAAATACTTACAAAAAGCATGCTTCTGAGTGAATTCCATAGTGTTGGAAGGGGCTTGCCATGAACTACCTCATACTCTGCTTCCACTAGTAGATTCTCAAATAGGATTAGTAAATTGGTCAAAAGAAGAGATAGGGTACTGAGTGGTGAATTGTTTAGAAATAAATTGGTAATTTTGTTTATTAATTACCCAAATAGGATTTTCTATGCCTTAATCAGTCAATTGTCTAAAGAAACATTGTTAATTAACTAAAATTGAATTAAACAACAGTTGATTTTGGTTGATATATTTTGATTTAGCCGACCCCATTGAGAAATCCTGGATCCGCCCGGTAGCCTAATTCCAATTTTATTAAAAGAGTTAACTTTATTATTTATTTATTTATTTATTTGTTAGGGTTTTTTCGAGCCGAAACTGCGAATAAATCATTACAATTTGGGATCTGAATTCAATTCAAGTCTATTTACTTTCACTTCTACAAGCTTCGAATTGAATCTCTGCTCCTGTTCTTCTTATGGCCGACTCAAACGAGTCTCAACAATCTGAACAAGGTCTGATGATTTCTCTCCTTTACCTATCATTCTGTTGTCTTTTATTGCATATATATCGATTTCATCGTTCAATTTATATTTATTTGTATTTTACAGTCTGCAATTTCTTTCGAAAACCATCAAAGAACAAGAATATCAGAAAGCGAACACTTGATGATGAAAACGAAGAAGAGGATTCAAAAACTGAGACGCTGTTTGTCAATAAGAAAAAGCCCCCAAAACCTGACAATAAGCTACACTTCTCTACCAGACCCTCCAAGCGCACAGTTTCATCTGAATCAGACATAGACTCCAATGCCTCAATGTTTCAATTCGAGTCCTCGAAGGAAATTCGAGTTCAAGATGATAGTAGGGCAACAGCAACCCTTGAAACTGAAACTGATTTTTCGAGAGATGCTCGAGCAATCCGTGAGAGGGTTCTCAAGAAAGCAGAGGATGCTTTGAAGGGGAAGGAAAAAAGCTCTGGCGATGAAAAGTTGTACAAAGGAATTCATGGGTATACTGACTACAAGGCTGGGTTCCGAAGAGAGCAAACAGTTGCGGCAGAGAAAGCCGGTGGGGCGCATGGGCCTCTTAGGGCTTCTGCTCACATAAGAGTGTCAGCAAGGTTTGATTATCAGCCTGACATTTGTAAGGATTACAAAGAGACTGGTTATTGTGGGTATGGAGATTCTTGTAAGTTTATGCATGACCGGGGCGATTATAAGTCGGGGTGGCAGATGGAGAAGGAGTGGGAGGAAGCTGAGAAGGCAAGGAAAAGGAATTTGGCTATGGGTATGGATGACAGGGATGAAGGAGCAGCAGACCAGAGTGATGAAGATGATGATGGTTCATTGCCCTTTGCATGTTTTATTTGTAGGCAGCCTTTTCAAGATCCTGTTGTAACCAAGTGCAGGCACTACTTCTGTGAGCATTGTGCATTAAAGGTAAGCCGTCTCAAACCCTTATCGTATTTGATTATAATCATATTGTTGGTTTATCTACTATTGGTTATCTTATCAGGTCTTATTGTATGCCTTAATATTTATTGCTTTTCACTGGACTATTTGAAATGAGAATTTTATACTAGATGATGAAGAAATAAGAATAATTAAATTACAAACCACGCATACACATGTATAATTGTGTGAGTTCAAATAATTTTATTGCTCTTATTGTAAAGAAATAAACTTGTAAGATGCTGCTATAAGTAACTTTTCTTTGTCTGATGCAGTTGTAATTTTGAATTTCCACTACCATAAAATACAAGCATCTCCGTGTCAAACAATGTTGTGAAGATAATATCACATAAAGAACCTTCTTGAATACTAAGGGCCCGTTTGGTATGCGTTTTGTTTTTGGTGTTTTGTTTTTGACTAAAACAGAAACAATGTTTTTGTTGTAGGGTGTTTTGGAACAAATTCGAAAGTACGTTTGGGAACTATACTTTGCTATAGATATGTCAAAAACAAAAACATGTAAAATATGTTTGGACACACAAATAAATAAATAAATAAATATATATATATATATATATATATATATATAAATTTTTGCAAGGTAATGCTAGAGCGAGGTTTGGAATAACAGACCCCCCTCTCTCTCTCTCTTAAAAATCACTCTGCAACTCTCTCTTTTTCTCTGGGTTTGGGATAGCAGACCCCTGTGGCCAAACACCGCACAACCACTCTTCTTCTTCTTCAACGAAAGCTGCAACTACCGGCCAGAAACAAAAGACGGCAGCCACTGAAACACCTGCGCCGATGTATGAAGCAAGAAGACGACCGGTGATGAAGCTAGGGACACAACACAGGACGACGACAGCAAGGAAACTCCGGCGATAGCAAAGAATGAGGTCGCGGCACGAAGAAACAGATAAAAAATTTCACGATATGGCAGACAACTCGTCAATGATGAAGACACCAACACACAAAGAAATCTTCGGTTCGGCTACTGTACTGTCCCTCCGATTAGGATCCTCCAAATTGGGTCGCAAGAAAAAAAATACAACCCCTGAATCAAAATATCGACCCAGTTGCAGAGAGAGAGAGAGTGGGCAAGTTCAGGTCTAAGAACGAGAATAGAGATGGAGGCATTATTTATAGGTAATAATATGTTTTGATTCTTGCAGACAATGCCAATACGAAAAGAGCGACATAGTATCCTCAAAACCAAACCAACAATTAAATCATCCCCAAAACACTGAATACTGATTACAACCCTAAAACATGTAAACCACAAAAGACATCTGAAATACTAACCGATCAAAGAACATCAACATCCATTAACAAAACCTAAAAGTTGAAATAAATCTTACCAAATTTGAAAAAGATGATGAATCCGTGGTTGATTACTGAGATGTTGGTTTGTTGTCGGTTACTCGGTTGTACCCGAGTGAGACAGATCTGCAATTTTTGTGTCTACTGTGAAGTTTATATAGCTAAAACAGATTGGGCCGGCTGTTTCATCCGCTACAGTTCTTTTTATTGGGCTACAGTATTAAAACAACAAAAAACACCATTTTGGTGTTTCACTTTTGGGCCACTGTTTGAAACAATGTTTTGTACTGTTTAAAACAAAACAAGTGTTACCAAACATGTTTTTGGGCCTGAAATGAAGCCCTACGACAAAAACACCAAAGTAAAACACCAAACAAACAGGCCCTAACCCCATTACAGATTAAATCTTAAGGGTTTGAATGTTTCTTCTTTAAAGCTCTAGTCTCACTACCAAAGCCTTGGCTTGAGTGGTATGTCCTCCGCCTCTCAGAAAGGGGGGTTGGGGTTTAGGGTTCAACACCTTGTGGAGCATGTTTGTTAGAATATATCTATTTAAAAAGGGCATTGAGTGAAATTGGTTGTCTGCTTGTACTCCTCACTCAATGCACACAACTTCTTAGTTTAGGAGAATGAGACATGTTGTATTATAGGCATGGCAATTCTATCTAATTTTTTGTTGTCAGGTGTAGTATATTTTGATTAAACAGATTTGAGTTTTTGAAATTCGAGAGTCAAACAAAGTTCAGCCTTGTCACACTTCTAGCGTATTCACTCCCGCAGTCATGGATATGATATTGGCTTATTCAGTGAAAACAATTTTGAAAATTACTGGTTTACCAATGGTAAGACAAAACAAGAAATGTTAGGATCGTATAAATGTTGTTGCAGGAGATAAAACATATACCTATCATTTCATTCAGGTGGGGATATGCATCTTGTTTATTTGACATTAAGTGGTGCATTCTAGTGTCTGGGCTACTTAGAGGAGAATAAAAGTGATAATGACCATTCCTTGATATAATACTAGCTTCAAGGGTCCGTCTTATATTAATGATTAAATATAGGAAACAGCACAATACATTTGTCGAAGTTACATAGTATGTTGATAAGTGGAATTAAATGCTGGAATTGGGTGTGGGAGCTGGGGTCCACCATTGATGATATTTGTTGATATTAGATTTGTACACAACATTGATAATGATATGAAGTGGAATTGGGATTATAACTAATGATCCATATGAAAAGACTTCCCGTTTTACGTGACATTGACTTTATTTTATCTTTACCAATTTCAATTGCCACACAAGTGTAGAAACTAAGCATCTGATGTCGAACTTGCTTTTCCTAGAAGGCATATGGGTGCTGTCTCCACAATTCTTGCTTTTTAGGTTTGGGTTCAAGTGATTTTGTTAGGTTTGGAATTAATCTTATTCAAGACAAGGGCCCAAGGCAGAAGTACTTAATGTTACAGCGATACTCATTTTAAGAATTAAATCGAGGTCCTATTCAGTAAGATTCCCCCAACTGCTCTCATAGAAATATAAAATTTAAGGTGTTAATTATGTTGTATTATGCATAAAATTTGTTCTGCATCTCGTTTGAGAAGGTGGATCCGTCCCAACCAATTTTTATTTATTTATTTTAAACATTAATAGATTACCCGGAATTTTCTCTTCTTTAAGTATTTACTTGGTTAAATTAAAATATTAAAATTATTTCCTATATCATTTTTCAGTCCAAAATGAAAATGCAATTTGATACCATCTTGATTCTGTGCCTTAAGAATAACTTTGTAGTCTTTTGACAACCTAAAACAATTATTTTGCTCTCTTTTCTGGCAGAGAAGAAGTTTTGTTCCTAGTAGATATTTCACTTGTTACCTTCGCTCAAAGCAGTAGTTGCTACCTATGCACCACCATATTTATTACACCACCCTCATAGTTGATCCTTAATCCCATCTCTTTGATTAAGGTCGTTAAGAATGCGAACGGTTAGAAATTTCAGTTGTAAGTTGCTACAAATCTCATAACAAATACAGGTGAGATTTTTGGTGGTTTTTTGTTGATGAAGATGAATCATATATGGTGAATCCTGATGTATAACCAGCAACACCCTCCTTGGATAATCATTAACAATCAGATTGTTGATATTCATTGACTTTAGAATTATAATACTGCAATATCAGTGTGAAATATTTTAGGGGAAGGAATTTTGGATGGCAAAGAAAAAAGATGTTCATAAAACGAGTGTGGTTTAAGTGTGGATATTAAAATGTATGCATTTTAAGACAAAGAGGGGTAAATTTAGAAACAATTTCATTGTTATAGCATCCATAAAAAAGTTAAAATTAGAGAAAATTGACCAAGACGGTTTAACCAAGATCAATAGCTATACCCACAAGGAGAGTAACATGGCTCGTATTAGAAAACTGAGACCAAAATTAGTATGAGTTGAGATAGTGATGAAAAACACAATAATGTGTTGCTTAATTGACGTGACTGGCTTTAGATAAAACAGAATGTCGAAACAAGATTCACTTAACCGCCTCAAAATAGTTGGCGTAATGTTTTATTAAATCAAATTGAGTTAAGCAAGTTTGGTAGAATCTAATTTTTTTTAACATTTAAATATATTCATTCTGTTACATTATTGCATATCTTACTTCTCATTGGAAAATTAATCCAATTTTCTATTATAGCATCATTCTTGCCATATTTCATATCTTCTCTAATTAGGTAATCTTTTTGTCCACAGCATCATTCGAAGAATAAAAAGTGCTTTGTTTGCAACCAGCCTACCCTTGGCATATTCAACACTGCTCATGAGATACGAAAGAAGATGGCTGCTGAGGGAAAATAGTAATGTTTGGCCATTCTGTTTGGTCGGTGCCATGCTTTGTAATTGCATATACTCGTGAAATATCTTCTTGACGTTGTAAGTTTACCTTTTATCGAATTATTGTTGATCCATTAGTCTCACGATCTACATGAATTGTATGAATCATACATTGTGCCAAAGTGGTTTAATTTTTACGGCCATGAGCATTACATCAATCTATGTATTATATGTCCTCCCACCTATGCAAGGTACTGGGAGGGGAAATCATTATTTTTGTGCAAAGTGACTGTTCCGTAGCTCAAACCGGCTCCATCACCTTTGTAAGCCTGGGTTTTACCATCAATTTAAGTGAATTTGTTAAAAATCCTATATTGAGAAACAGTGGTTTCATTTTTATTGCCAGAAGCATTTGCTTTGGAGACAGGCATTTGAGTATTATTAAACCTTTTCCATTCTCAGAAATCATGCTTATGTTCTTTTCTGTCCCCTCATGGTCAAGAAAAAATATATTAGCTCCAAATTAACCTAATAATTGAATTTTGGTATTCGTCTAGGGTCATTACTCATCCAATAATACGTTCTTTGGAACTCCAGCACCTTTGATTAATTGAATTCTATCAAATTATGTGAATTTTGTACGGAGAAATTAGCATTTGGGTCCAATGTGTAAAATCCAAGGAAATTGGTTTACGTTAGTTGTTTCAACACTAGAAAGCTTCTATGCTTCAATTCACGAATTAAGTTTGCATTAAAAAACTATGATTAGGCCACTTCACTCTCTATAACTTAAATCTAAGGAAATTGGTTTACGTTAGTTGTTTCAACACTAGAAAGCTTCTATGCTTCTCTTCACGAATTAAGTTTGCAATAAAAAACTATGATTAGGCCACTTCACTCTCTATAACTTTCTATGTGAGGTTCTTTTTATATTTTTGGACTAATTTATCTTGCAGTACTCTGGTTGATAAAAAAAAAAAAAAAAACTTGGCCTTCAATATTTATGCTTTCATTACGATACAGTAGCACCTGAACCGAATGGCAGTCTCCAAAGATTTTAGATTTTCCCCAACTCAAGAGACAATTTGTGGATAACATTTTTACAAGTTACATGAACATTTTATTAACAATATTAGCAACTGTACTGCTAAAAAAACATAAAAGTACAGTTACAAACTAAAACCTAAAACAGAATGTACATGAAACAGGGACTCCCGAACTTGAACTCTTAGGTACACTCTCTATGTTTTCTTTTGACCTCAGAAAGAACTTCAAGCGCTGGTCATTACCTCCTTGGTTACCATTCGATTGTTCTCAAGATTTTGTCCTTGGCTCCAAGCATGTGGAGATTGTGCAGTCAGTAAAGGCCACAAGAGACTCCTCTGTTTTCGCACTTTCCGGACAACCATCTTCCTGTGTTGCCTTATAACCCCATTCATTGCCTTTAGATAGTTGCTCGAGTCATGGTCTCTGAGAATAGTACCTTCCGAGCCATAAGCTGTGGGATCTTTTAGTGTTTCTAGTGGGTGGGGAGAATTGAGGAAGGCCGTAAGTGCACTCTTGGTGGAACCACATTGGTTTTGTTCCAGGGCATATAGGGCACTTCCTGAAGGTAGTAAAGGGTGAGGAGGAGATGAATTCTCGTCCGGTTGGAGAATGAATACTTTACCCATTGGAGAATACAACAATTTCTGCACAAAACAGCATTATTTAAAGAGGAAGAATAAGATTGCAGGATGAAATCAATTTTTCATTCTGAGATTGATTATATGGTATCTGAATGGATAATTGAAAAACAATTTGAAAATTTATAAAAATTTGTGAGACAAATAATTTTATACAAACTGGAGGAGTTGTAAAGGGATATACGCACATTCTTATTTAGACAAGGGTGGGACCGGAAGGACTTCAATCGCTTGAGGAGTTGCGTGATATGGTTCGGGTAGTTGCAGGAGAATGCTCTCGGGACGATATCTCTATGCATCATCACACAATGAACATGGCTCTCATCCAAACCCAACTCATCAAGGATCTTTTGCCCTCCACAGAAGACAAATGGTGATCCAAAAGTAACAACCGGCAGGAGTGCAGATGGCTTGACAACCTTTCTTGCCAATAACATTAAGTTGACTAGTAGAGAAAGACTACCCCCAAGTGAATGACCAGTGAACTGAAACTTTGCTCGATCCCCGTATCTATTCAAGTGTTCCATAATTCCTGGCATGAATTGCTCATATATTCCCTTAGCAGCTTCATAAATTCCTCTATGAACAATAACTTCTGTCTCCTGCAACAAAGATGAATATATTCTCATGGTTCAGGTTTCTCTTTTTTACTCGATATATTTACTCAAGTGGTGTTCTGAAAGTCATGCACTTGCGCTTACCTCAAATTTGGTGGGTTCAAAGAAGAGATTAGCATGCCATGATGCCACTGAGTCTGATCCCTGTATTTCATAGAAAATTATTATGTCAAACAGAAAACAGTATCTGATTTCTGTTAACCACTTGTTCACCAGACAGCGATGTCCAATTATAAACATTTAATTAGCTGAAATTTCAGTCACGGAAATCTCTATATGAGCTATCATTTACATGCAGCAGTTACCTGAATGACGAAACAGCGAGTGCATGTGCTTAGATCATCACAAACAAACCATTCACAAGGTGAGGAGTGAAGTGATTGAAGGTCTCTTGCAGCCTCCTGCTTTTCTTTCTCGCCTGCGGCAACCACTGATGTCATTGTTGATGCTGCCACATATGCAGCCATCTCTGACTTGTACACCCGTGAGGCAGAGTTCCCTTCCTCCTCCTGTGAGTGGTCTCCTTTGTCGCGTGATACCACACCATCACCCTCCTGTTGGGGCTCAGAGCCAAGGGATAAAAGGTCCTTGGCACGAGAGTGGACATAAGATGCAGCAGAAGCAGCAATGTCATAAGCAACAGATGGACGGATTGGACGTTTCTGCTCGGGGTTTCTGGATTTCTCTGAATTGGACAATAAACTAGCTGCGGAGGTAGCCGAAGGTACACTAGTGGAGTCCTGGTCAAGTTTGGCTTTGAGTATTGCTGCCTCTGCTTTCTTCTCCAAGGAAGACGTTACAAAATCCAGGCCATAGTATCTTCTTAAATCAGTGTCCTACATGTTAATTGGATAAAGTTACTTATATACACTTGAAAACCTGAAGGGAACTGATAAATCTACTGCGTGCTAGCAATAAAAGAAGAAGAATAACTATTATACTGCTAAAGCAAAAAAGGCTTGTCACCAATAATATGTGTGGAATTATTAAAAAAATCAAATTCCGAAAAAAAAAAAAAAAAAATTACATAAAAAAACATTTCCAGAGGACATGATTCAAATTAACAAGCTAAAATAGGTATACCACTGAGGGTTGCTAAGTTGATAATTGTGTTGTCTAGCCACTTGGGAAAGGTACATCTTTAGCACTATATTCTGATTCCTGAATGAGGGACTGACAATCAGTGGTCCTCTTTCCCACTTTGATGCTGTTGTTTTCCTTTCCCTTTCATTTATTTTTTATTTTTTATTTTCCTTTAAAAATTTTAGTGGAAAATTAGGAACTGTATATAATCTTTAGAATTTTCTTCCCCAATCCTATAGAAGTGATGGTACCATGGAATCTCTAAAATTTTGACCCATGGTGGTATGTAGCCCCAACCCACCATTAATTTTTCCAGATACCTCTAGCATACCTAGTATGGATGGAATACAAATTAAGTCCCTCACTTCATGTCAAATGCCTCTTCCTCCATGCTACCGTCAATGAAAATTTTATGCCGACTTGGGTGTCTATATAGAAAAAGCTGCAATCTTACATTCGCAGGTGCCTAACCAAGAACACCTGGGTTGGCCGCTGGACAGTTGAGTTCAAAAATAAACTATTTTATTCTTTCTGGTTCATGTATCATATTAGTAGGTATAATTGTTTTAGTGGGAATTGTAGATGTTCAAAAGTCTAGTTAGTGGGAGTGGTGGTCTCAAGTGTCTGATAGTTTGATACATGTATTTGATTAGATACATAATTTCAAGTCTATGTAAACCCATGTAATCTACCGATCTTTATAATTGGAATAGAGCATTTTCCAAGTGTTTCTCCCTCTCCACATCTCTCCAAATACTAAAGTTATTCTAGCCCTCATTTCCAACAAGTTGACCTGCCTGTCTGTTTTGGTTTTTATGCTGGAAAGGTGATCTATACAAATATTTCTAACCTCAAAATGACATACTAGTGACATTTTTTATGATATCATAATGTATTGCTATTCTAAATTCTAATACTCCATTTGAAATGCAGAAAAAGGAAACGAAACATACCTTGATATCTGGTATCACATAAGCCATGTTGCACAGGAAAGCCAGTTGAGAGAAAAGCTTTGCATCAGACAAAGATACATGAGCTAACAACCTCGAGAATGACCCTCGATCAATGGTTATCTTCCCTTCTTGTTCCTCATCGTCACTGTAGTCTACTTCGCAAACATCGTTAAATCCATCTTCATCACAAAATTTGTCGTCCCCTCCATCGCCATTTATGTCATCTTTCTGCTGTCTGTCTCTCCAATGACTTCGAATTTCTAGGAGCCTTTCGATCCAGTTTGACCTCTTCTTCTCTTCTATCTTCATCTCAAATTCATCACTCTCCAGTGGGTTCTCCACTACATTCATCCCCTTGCTCGTCTCCGGATCAAATAGAAATGACCGGAGAGAGTTTGGAATAATCGAACCCGAGAACTGAAAGTTAAAGATTCCAACAGAAGGACTACTTTTGAGTTTCGGTGGGCTTGAGGAGGACGAGGCGCGAATGCAATTGACAGAGTAGCAGATGTGGTTGTCTGAGTACGACCTTCGGATTTTCGATTGGTGACACAAATCTTTGTTGGAGAAGGACCGACGAAAACTGTTGTGTTCTTTGACTATATCTTTTGTTGCTGTGGCCACTGGAGAGCTACAAATAGATAGCGAATTTACCATGGTTACAAAGCTTTCTCGGACAAGTTGGCCTGGAAAAAAATGTTAAAACTTTGTTAGTGAAATCTATGACTCACTCTATCCCAACTTTATTAGTGAATTTTCTTCCTCTCTCTCTTGGGTGTTAACTAGAAGAGTAAGCACAAAACTTTGGACTTGAGTTCTTGAAACCAGAACAATGTAAAGCAATGCACCATATAAGGATCAAGGAAGCAAAAGGTGACAAAATAAACGTTGTTAAGAACAAGAGCTGCAAGCAGCTGATACTGTTTTACAAATTTAACCCATGCATATGACTCGATTTAAATGACCATACTGCCCTATCACTAGACATGCCACAACATGTTAATTTTGAGGGTAACATTTGTAGAAGTTTTGGTTTACAAAGCATGGTACAATCATGTTATAAAGTTTATGTGCGTTCAACACAATTAAATCTAATTTTAACGTATTACTCTCATCTTGTTCTGGTTATTTATCGAGAAAAAAATAAAATAAAAAAATTTGCGCGTTCCAGTTTCATCTAGTTACTAAAACAAGTCACAATAATGTTGTGAAGTGAGATGAATATTACAACATTTTTGTAACGTACTTCACTAATTAGATGGAACCGGACCACTGTTCCACAGGAAAGAATTTGAGTCCGTTTCGGGTTTTGTTTGTTGCTGTGGTTATAGATTTTAACGATTGAGCCCATATAGAGTTCCGTCTAGCTAAAACCACCAAATCAAGTAAAACAAAGGAGTACTTAATGATTTCTGAAACTAAAGTATGATCAGGTGGCATATTTTTTAATGTCTTGACGATTTCTGAAACTAAAGTGAGATCAGGTGGCATATTTTTTAATGTCCAAGTTGATGATAAGTACACAAATTGTTGGTCAAAACATTTCAAAGCAATTAAATTAGTAGTAGTGTTGAATAAAGAAGAGTGTTTGGCCTTGGGAAGCAAAAACAAAACAAGAAAACATAATTGAACAAATTTGTCTTGTTACCTGGAAACAAAATATGTTTTGGCAAGCTGTTGATTTCAATGAGAACCTTTAGCGTTTTAAACTAGATCTCTTTGCTTGAGGAGTCCGTCTTGTGACAAAATTAACTGAAGAAGAATGAGAAATTAAGACAAGAATTAGAAACCATTTTTTAATTTTCTAAAGATGCAGACATATATTAGGACCAACCATCTCTTTAACAAATTAATCCCATAGACATTCTCGAGAAAGCTGATAGGAATTGGTATATATAGCCTAAAGTCACACACACTTTAGCAATGATACTTATTTCTTTGACAATTTTAACGACATTTCTTGGAATTCTCGCCCTATATAGTTGTTGTGTCATGTTGCTGGAAACCAAGACAAAGTTCCGTCAAAGTTGAAATCTCTCCAGCATAGAAAATTACGAGGGAATTTAATTTTTAAATTCCGTAATATTCGTACTCAAGAAAAAACTCGTCAACCACATCTCTTTACCCTTTTTATGATATTAGAAGAAATTATATATTTATACTATAAAATCAAAGCGGAGGAGAAGGGATTCCGGTTCGTCAAATATATTCTCAGAGTGAAGAATGTTTTGCGTTGAGTGTGGATCCCACCGGTGCTTTTTTTTTTTTTTTTTTCTTTCTCCAAGGCCAAAATTAAGAAGAAAACAAGAGGGTGCTCCACCACTAGGGTTTCATTAAATGAAAGCACTTGCATTTGCGCCACGTGGACATAGGTTTAACGGACTGACTTACGTGTCACCACATTTTTCTCTTTTAGTCTCACAAACTCACTGAGTCACTTTTCTAAAAAAATTTCTCGTTTCCTTCCTTAAAAAGTCTCCCCTTCACTGAGTCACACACACACACAAAAATTCAAATCTATCAAAAGTATTCTCATATTTTTTAAAATGATATAATTGTTCTTAAAAGCATTTTGAAAAATTAAGAGCAAAAATACTGATTAGAACTAAACATGCTTTTACATACAATAAATTTTTTTTCAAACACACACACACACACAAAAATTCAAATCTATCAAAAGTATTATCATATTTTTTAAAATGATATAATTGTTCTTAAAAGCATTTTAAAAAATTAAGAGCAAAAATACTGATTAGAACTAAACATGCTTTTACATACAATAAAATTTTTTTTTTTTTTTTTGGGCAAGAAATTACGCACCTAGCGTGTCCCTACGGACTCAAATAAATTATTTTATTAGTAATTAAATTTAGTTATGTTAGTAATTCTTTTAACCAACCCTTTCGCTAGAGTGATCAAATAGCGGTGGTTAGGTTCTTTATTACAGGAATAAAAAGTCAAAAGAATGCACTCAACTTCGAAAGTAACAGAATTTAATTTGCAATTTATGCAATGACATACGCAGTGGACATTAAGATCGATCGTCCGAGCTTAGCAGGGTAATAATGTGAGTGTGTTTGCTTCGAAAAAAATATCAAAGACAACTCTGTAATTCTGTATTACATGCATGATATGGAAGCAACAAATTTGAAATTCAATCATAAAAAAATACATACATATTAAATTTAAATCAGGGAAAAGGTATGAACATCATATTGAAAACACAATACCTAGACTTGAAGAACAATTTGTCTCAGTTGGATCAGATCCTCCGAGTCGCTACGAATCACACGATCGAGATTTCGTCGGAAAAATCTGCAGAGAAGGAGAAATCAAAAGAATCGGTGCGAGAATTCCATATACATTTCGCATAAATCCTTTTGAAACTGGGAGATGTATAGAGATAGTGAAAGCATGTACGTACTCGATCTGCTGCGAAAGCTCCCAGCGACGGAGAGCTCGCAGCAGAAATATACAGATCCAGAGAATGTAATGTAAATGTACTTTTGTGTGTGTATATATATACACACAAGTACACACACAAAGGTTTACAGCTGAATTTTGACAATAATATTAGCGAAAAATAGTAAATTTTATATATTCATGCATTGAATTTTCTATACGGGTATACAGCACATATGACTATTATCTCTTTCTCTCTCTAAAAGTGTATCTCTTTCTGTCTCAGGTAGTGAGATCTGGTTCTCTATACCGGCCTTATATATGCGGGAAAGAAGCGATGGAATCACAGAACAGGCATGAGGGAATCTAATCACGTGGACATGAAGGGCCAGTCAGGCTTCAATGTATGGACGTAATTGCCACTGCATCTTTATATATTTACCTACCAATCCTCTATGGAGTTTTTTGTATTTAAATTTTGCAGTATAATTCGTGAAGGGGCATTATTCATTAGCCTAGTTGGTTGAATGCGTTTCTTGAATTGGTGTTGCTGTGTCTTAGTATTCTTTTCTCTTAGTTTGCCAAATATATATATATATATATCTATAAAATAATTTTTAAAAATAAATTAAATTTAGCCTAGTTGGTTGAATGCGTTTCTTGAATTGGTGTTGCTGTGTCTTAGTATTCTTTTCTCTTAGTTTGCCATATATATATATATATATATATATATAAAATAATTTTTAAAAATAAATTAAATTTTTTTAAAATAAGGTTAATTCAGACCTCAGTGTAGCTTCAGGGGCGGAGCCAAAAATTAAATTCAAGAAAGACATAATGTAAAAAAATAAAAATTTCAATAATCACGACAATAAATATAGATTCTATAAATTAAGAGACGAAGAAGAAAATTTACTCAAAATAATATGTAGTAATTTAAGAAAGATAAATAGTTAAAAAAAATTAAAAAGAAAAGAAAAATGAGAGAATTTTGAAAGGAAAAAAAATTGGAATTTGATTCAAAAAGCAAAATTTAATTTTTTAAAAGGAAATTAAACGAATTATAAGAGTAAAAAATAGAAAAAATACAAAATTTAATAGATAATTTTAGAAAATAAAAATTTTAGGGGTGCATTATATGAATTTTTTTCATATATATATATGTAAAAATATATAAATTTAGTATATATATCCTTCTGACATACACTAGTTCTGTCCCTGTACAGCTTTATTTTATAGAGAGGTTAAATGAAATTAGCTTTATTGCAAATTCAATGTAATCAAATAAAATTTTGAAATGTTTTTTTAATTATTGGGAATTTTTTTTTTTTTTTACTCCAATGAGAAGATTAGGGCCTTTTCCATTAAAAGGTATAAAAAAATAATTCGGAAACTCTCAGTGTCTGAAAATTAAATTTTTAAAAAATAGATTGGATTTAGTTATTCATATTTTTTAATATAATTCTCTAAATACTATTTTTAAATTAATAGATGAATTGAACTTGTTTGTATTATGAATAAACAAAAGGGGCATTATAGTGAAATTGAGTGAAGCGGTTGAGATACTTTGTCTTGGGATCCTTATTGTGCGGGGGTATTTTAGTAAAAATGAAAAAAGGGAGGAGGCCAAATGTGCGGTTGCATGGAGGAGACACCCGGATGTTTGCTTCCTATTCCACCTGCTTCAACAAGGAAACACGGAAACGGAAAGGATATTTCTGTTTGGCAGTCCTTGCACTCGCCACATTTCATTTCAATTGGATCTTCATGCACGTTACAATTCAATTATATATATATATATATATAGAGTATATAGGGGCAGAGTCCAAAATAAAATCTAGGGCCATAGTGTAAAAAGAAAAAAAAAAATCAATAAGAATGACAATAAATATAATTTCTTCAAATTAAGAAGTAAAGAAAAAAATTTATTTTAAATAATATGTCCATCAATGAGTAGTTTAAGAAAATTTTGAAAGGAATTTTTTATTTTTTTAAAAGAAAATTAAACGAATTTAAAGAGTAATAAAGAGAAGAAATATAAAATTTAAGAAATAATTTTAAAAAATAAAATTTTTTAGAAAGGGTATTAATGATTTTTTTTCAAATATATGTATAAAAATACATAAATTTAGTATATATATTATAGTAGGTGGGGTCAGGCCAGTGTATGCCCATGAGAGGCATATATATATATGTATATATATATATATATATATATATATATAGTGTAGGTAGTCTGAAAATTTCAACTGATT